TGGAATTTCAAAATATAATACATAGCGTATATAAGTAATAATATAAATATGTCCTTTTTAGATGGGCTCATAGTTCATACCATTTCTGGGTATATAATTTAGGCTAGTATAGTGTTCCTTTTATCTCAGAATAAGTCTCATAAAACTCAGTGGATATAATTCTTTTAGAATATAAGGTTGTACTATCCTGTATCAACAAATGTTACGCTCATGTCACCAATTGTCTGAGTCATTATTAAAATGTAGTTGATTCCTTGGACTAGTTGCTTTACCATACTCCATTTATTCACTTGATTATGCAGTTTGTGTATATATCTTCCCCTCCCATTTTGTTGCCCATGAAGAATTCCTTACTGACACTGTAACAAATATTTTATCTAACAAAAATGGAAGTGCACAGTAAGCTGCAAAATAATTTAACTATTGAATAACAAATGAAATGTAATATTTTTCATCCAATTGCTGGGAGACTTACTTGATAAGCCAATTTTGAAGATTTTACCTATTTGTAATTAGAGAATATGATGCATGCAATTAATTAATTCATCAGTGTGTGCCATTATACTCATCAAAGCTTCACATATTCAAATCCATGTTACTCTATCTAATATTTGAAGAAAACTATTTGAACAGCACTTCACTACATCTATATTGTTCTCAAGTCCTTTTTATATTGCTTTTTAATTAATGAAATTAATTTTAATTAATGTTATTAATCATTGTGTTATGTTAATTGTTATTAATAACAAACACAAAAATAATACACTATCAAATAAAAAAACATTAAAAAGTGCTATTACAAAAAAGTGACAAAAATACAACAAAAGAAATAAAAACTTAGCATAGTATACTATTATAACGGTAAATAGGTACAAATCTATATTTATCTAATGCAAATATTATTCAGTTGCAAATATATTTCCAATACATTTATGTGACTATTTTTTTTTTTAATCTACTGTGTTTTGTATAAATGAGTCCCGTACTTCATTATACTTGTCCGTACAAAGTCTACATCTATAGGCAATCTGCTCGTAAGTGGCAAGTGCAATCAGGTCTTCAATCCATTGGGTGAATGGGGCATACATTTATCTTTCCAATGCTGCAATATCAGCCTTTTGGCCATAGTAAGGGCACGGAAAATCCATTTACGTTGTCCAGATGTCAAATTCCATGTAGCAGGTATACTGAAAATTTTAGCTTTTGTTACACAATCATATTTATGTAGTCTACTACTTTCTTCCAAAACTTAGTACATATAGGACATTGTAAAAACATAGGCTTTAAAGAGGCATTGTCCTTATTACATCTCCAACAAAATGCTGTTTTTGACAATCCTTTTCTATACAAATGTAGTGGAGTCCATTAATTCTAAATATTAATTTTTCTTGTATAAGTTGTGGTTTAAGGTCCATTGACACGCTCCCATTGTCTAGGCAATATAGAAACCTCTAATTCTTTATTCCACTCATCCCGTAACATCTGCATATCAAACTGATTTATTGATAACAAATATCTATAAAAGCTAATAGTAGGTTTTTTAGTTATAAAGGACTTAACAAATTGTTCTAGTACCTCAGGTGTCTCGGAAGCTGAAAATGCTGCTGGTCCAAACAATGTTGTTAACAAATGTTGTAGCTGTAGATATTGCCAACTGATTTATTGATAACAAATATCTATAAAAGCTAATAGTAGGTTTTTTAGTTATAAAGGACTTAACAAATTGTTCTAGTACCTCAGGTGTCTCGGAAGCTGAAAATGCTGCTGGTCCAAACAATGTTGTTAACAAATGTTGTAGCTGTAGATATTGCCATTGGGATACATCTGATAGCTGATATTTATCTCTTAACACAGCATATGTTAAAAATGTATCTTCATCCATCTGTCTATTGGTCCAGAGTCAGTATCTCTGCTTCCATTCAACTTTTCCATATCACCATCTTTTTCCCAATTTTTAATGTTGCGTTTCCCCATAGAGTCAATTTAGCATGGGAAAAAGAAACAAATCTTTTTTTATTGGATGTTACATTCCAAAGCTTTCTAAGTGACACAATTGTTTCCAAACATATTACAGTTCTGTTGTATTTAGATCCTAATACTGCCCATCCAACCAAAGGTGCTATGTATGTACAGTACATTCCAATGTTGCCCAAATTAGAAAATTAACATCAGTTGTTGGCTTCCAGTATCTAATACTTGACAATAGGTAAGCTTGATGATATAGCTCCAGATTTGGAAAACCGAATCCTCCTTCATTAATTGGTAGTTGCATTTTCTGTAAAGATATTCTTGGAATTGAAAAACCCCATAAAAATTTCTATACAAAGAATTTATGTTCTGAAAATAGTTGTATTGTTCTCAAGTCTTAAGAAAAAGGGCATACATGACATTTTGTTGTCCTTAGATTCCATGGTACTTATGTTAGAGTTGCTGTGAAAACAAGCAAACAAACGAATATCAGTTTCCCTGATCTAGAATGATGTTAATGATCTAGGTTAATGATACAAAAGTTAATTTTAACATTTCCCACTGAACTGAAATTGCTCAGCTGATGTAGCCCTCTAGTGTTGGCAAGTGACAGTCTCAATTCTTTCCATTAAAGTTCACCATTCATTCCTTTCATAATAAGTGTTATGTTTGAGGTATTCATACAAACTGCAAGTCTACAAGGAGCTATATAGTACTTACTGCGCAGTATTAATTATGAAAAATTGAATTAATGGGGTTTATGGAGTTAGTGAAGTTCCAAGATAAAAGCACTGCTTTTTATGTCATGATAAGAAATATACAGGAGGACTGTGTGAATCCTTCATTGGGAGGCATCAATCATGGTAACATAAGCAAAGTGATGATACGGTCATTTCCTCCCAAACTTTTGGCATGGTTGCTTCCAAGTTTCTCTATGCATACTGCTAATTAAATAAGACATTTCCACTAGGATTTGCTGTGCAGTGAAGCAACAGTCCTGGCAGAAATGTCTTTTGTAGAAGGACACATTGCATAGATGAGGAAATCCCACAGGGTGGCTGCACCAAATCTTTGGAAGAATGTGATTACTTCGATGATCAAAGCATTTTTCCAAGCACAGGCTTGATATAAAAAAACTTGTCTTCTGATTTTAAAATACATGATAGCCAGGATCATTCTTGAGGAAGAAAAGATTGCTTGTCTGCATGTGTATGTGTCTATGTATATGTGTATATACAAACACATATGCATATCTATGCTTACATGCACTAAAGAATGTTTTCCCCTTTTCTCCTAACCCATCATACATGTTCCCTGCATGTATGTACCTCTTTTCTAATGGCTTTGTATATCCTTCCTTAAGTTCTTCATTGAAAGAGGAGGAGAAGGATCTGGGAAATCAGACAGCTGTCAGCTTGATCTCTATGCTGGGCAAGGTCCTCAAAAAAATTATTAAACAGCAATTTTTACAGCCAGTATCTGTTGGGAAATGTTGGGCTTCAGGGTTTAGTGACAGTGGTCTAGAGAGCAAATTTCTTGACATTTCACTGGCAACTGGCATCTTCAGAAGCAAGGTAGTCTGCTATGCAGACCATTGGCAACTGAGCAGGGACTAACTGGTCCCTGTCTTTATAGCTAGGTGACCTGACTTGATTTAGCCAGGCTGGTTTCCTATTGGTACAGGTTGGTGAGGGCTGGTCTCTGATTGGCTCTTTGTTCCAATCCTGATTCATCATTTTGGTGGTGTTGGTTTCTGATTAGTCCTTCCCTGTGCCATACTAAGATCACAAAGTCCACAGCCAGCAAACAGAAATAGTCTGCCATGGCTTCAATCAAGGAAATGACCATCACTTGCCTGCCCAAGTCAGGACCAACCAGGAATCAGTTCTCAAAAATGGGCAAATCAAAAAATTGCCTAGGACCCAATCAGGACTCACCTGCTCAGATTAACCAACCAGAACCCAGCATGAACAAAAAACCAGTCAGGAATCACTACTCCAAAAATGACTAATCAGAAGCTGGCATGAACAAAAGACCAATCAGGAACCAACACCACCAAAATGAATTGTTCCTATGCTGATGGTCTCTGTGGCTCCTGATGTGATATATCCAATTAATCCACCAGTACTCCCCAACATTATAACAGCTATGTGAGGGGCTATCCCTCCTCTTTCATCTTTTACTGCTTACTGTATAATCTTTATCATCATAGGCACACTCTGTCACCTCAGTTTTGGCTTTTTCCTACTTATATGCCTTCTCCCATCTCTCCACTCCCATATCTCTGTTTGAAACAACTACATTTCAGTATATGTAATAAAACAGCCCTTTTTTCTGTATATAATATACTGTAAAATGTCTAAAGTATAATGTTTTAAATTGGACAGGGCCACCCAAAAACAACTATGCAACTCCTATACAAAATATGAACCAAAAATAAAACTCATATGCTTGTCTTTATTTATTTTATGACTGATTAAAAATATAATTTGATGATAACTTCCTGTACTTTCTTGCTTGCCTATATTCTTTTCTTCACCCATTTTTCATATTTCAATCTTTTGGTGTCTTCCAAAACTCTTCCTTTATAATATCCAGGTTAAGAAAGTCAGAGAATTCCAGCAATGGAGCCATTGCTGTCCAGTTCTTAAACATTATATGTATAAGCAAAACTCTAGGGCCATTTTGATTTTAACAGATAAATTAGTATTACAAGGTCACCTTTGCCTTATTTTCATATTGTGAGAAATCTAAAAATAGGTTATTAAGTTATTTCAGGCAGCTAATATTAGCTCACCATGAGTATTGCTCGCTCCACTTTTATGTTTTTATGTTGTTTTCTAGACAAATAATACAGATTTGCTTCCCAAAGTCAGAGCTGACTACACCATCCACTGAATATACACAGACATTTCCTATGGTAGATACAGGACAAATTTGATTCATGTAAACATTCCCCAAATATCTTAAAGAAAACTGCTTTTAGTTTCTCTAACTTCTATGGACTCTTATTTATATTCTTTTTTCCTTAGCTTGGTGTGAAAATTGCCAAAGCTGTCGCTTGCCGAAATTTTGTGAAAACAAAGCAAGATGCAGAGGCTACTCAAGAGGCCCAAAAGAACAAAAAACTTGCATGGGGGTAAGTCATTGGCTTCTGTCTTTGCAACTAGTAGATATCCTGAATTAAATATTTTTCTCCTTCAAATTAACACAACTGATCCATATTTAATTTAACCTTGGCTTTTTCTTTGAGTAGTGCATCTATTTTATGTAGGGTCTTTAGTACATCTGACACATTATTTGAATGTTTATACTCTCCATTTTTAATTGCTGGAGTATTAAAACCCTAGTTCCAGTTCAGACATTGCTGCTGAATGAAATTTGATTGAAACTTCCTAAAGTGTATTTCAGTAGAGACTGACATATGCTTGTATTTCTTTTCAGTTTTGAAGCCAAGAAAAGATGGGAAACAAAAAGCAACATGGGATACATGTAGTTAGTTCTGCCTAGAAAGGCTGAAAAATTGTAAAGTGGAGAAAAAGGTTTGTTAATGTAGATGATGCATAAATTACACTTTTATTTGTTTTTATTTTGCATTATTTCTGCTGCTGGATGAGTCATAGAATAATTAGTTTCTCTTCCATATGTTACTATATTTCAGGTATTCAGCCTTCAACCTTTTAAATGTTTCTATCTTATTCATTACACAAGTCTTCAAGTTGTAAAATATTTTATCAAAAATTATTAAAATTAAAAATATGCCAGCTTTATTCAATTGTTTTTAATACTAATAAATTATCTTAAACACAATACATTGTTTGAAATTCCTGTCTCTTTAAATACTATTAAAGTAATATTTAATATAAATATTAAATATTATTTATATAAGAATATAAATGTTTATATTTCTGAAAACATCAAGTAAATTTTCCAGTAATTTCTGCAATATATTTCACCTACGTTACTTTAGAACATTTATGTAGCCACCCAACTCACACATGGTGACTCTGGTTGGTATATAAAAATCATTAAACAAAAATGCAGAAGAAAAACAGTACATGCCACTAAAACAAAATAACATCCTTAAAGGGCTACCAGAACTGAAATCTGTTGTTTCCTACCAAATGGGAGCACAGCTTATCCATTATCCGCAAACAGCCAGATCTTAATTGCCTTATAAAGGGTCAACCATTTATTAGGCAGGAGATCGATTGAAAAGGCAGGGGCCGCCACTGAGAAGGCAGGCTTCCTGGTTCTTATTAAGGAAGACCACATATTTCAAGTACAATGAATATTCATCTAACAATGCCTACTTGTTTTTGACAACTTGAGTTAAAACATTATACCAAGAAATGGTGATTTCAAGGTTTATGGCAAGTCCTTAGTTTTCCATCCAAATATGGATTTTTTTTTCTTGTTTGTAGCCTGAGGATCTGTGATTTCCTCCACATCCTTCCCACGAAACATAATATTTCACAAAGATGAGTTTGCTATAGAGTAATGTAGAATTAACTGTAATCAGTTATATTGACAGTTAAATACACAGCAAAGTCTATAAATTACTGACCAAGCAGGTTTACTACATAGAATCATAAATCTCTAAAGACTTATGTTCAGATATCATTAGAAGAGGGCTTTTTTGTGAAGAAAAGAGCGAAAGCAACTATTTTCCAACTTCAGTGTCATTACAAGTATGTATAATGTTGTTATAGTTAGACATTCAAAGAAAATGGATCTACTAAAGACCCATTTGAATTTAATTCCTTATCAAAGTAGTTTTTAATATAACAACAACTTTTAAACATACATGACAGATTTCATCTTCTAGCCTAGATTCTTTCCATAAATAACATTTTAGGATTTCAACTAGAAGAGTTTTCTCAGCAATATCAAAATTTAAGTTTATACATTCTTCAAGAGCCAACAAAATAGAGTTGCCATTGTACGTTTTTGTTGCCATGAATTTGGAACAGGAAGTGGCCACATATGTTCATTGCTTATCTTTATATTTGGACAAGCTTTCATGTGCTTATTATTATTTTTTTGCTATTGTTAGATACTAACTATGTAATACATATTGTGCTGCATTGTACTTTAATATACTGAGAAGTTGAACAAGGGGAGGGAGTTCTGTGATAAATACTAGTGGGAATGTGAATATATCCTGCCTAAACTAGTGCTTAATGTCTCTTTAAGGAATGGGCAGTTCAGCCACATGAGCATGACTGAAGAACAAGATGGCTGTAGTCTTGTACATAAATGCTATTGCCATTTTAAAAATAACTTTATTGGTGTAATTTGTTTTATTCAGCAGAACATCAGAATAAGTGCAGAAAGCATTCCTGTTATTCTGATTTGTCTACAGGATGATGATGTATAATGTTGGAAGCTAAATCAAAATGAGGACAATGCTTTTTGTTCTCTTTGGAACCTTGTATATATAAATCTCAACAGCTTTGAGTGGATTTGCCATTGCCAATAGGAAAGTGAAATGACAGAATGAACGAACAACCAAAGCAAATGTGCAGTGGGGAAGTTTCAGTTTCCCTGAAACATTAGCGGAAATATTTTCATTAGTTCTTAGCTGACAATATAATTTTAATAAATATAGCCTAAGGAAAATGTATGTCTGGGGGAAAAGATTATTATTTTTCCTTGCTTTCCCAAATGAGTTACCTTGTTTTCTTCTTCAAAAAGAAAGATATGACAAGTTGCAGATAAATATTATTCAATTTAATGATGGAATTTATTTAGTCAGTTTAAGCCTCATCTTGCTACTCTAGCAAGTATTCATGGCAGAAAGCAGTTTTTTAAAAAAGAAACCAAAAGTACAAGCTAAACATTTGAAAAGTTTATGGGATATGTAATCCTATAATTGCCATACTGATTGAAGTAATAGGTACTCACTGATTGAGACCATTATAACATAATTAATGGAATATTCAGACCAATTAGTTCTATATGAAGTAAGAGCATTTCAAGAATATTTTTTGACATAAAGTTTATGTAGGGTATTCTTCTAGTAACATTTAAGAGATCCATTAATGCAGTGGAAAAATATATGTCTGCCTGGTCTAGTTTCTATCTTGCTGTAAGAAGTTTGCCTAATGGGTTTTAAAGACTATATATATTACTAATAGACATTTCAGCTAAATAAATGTTCTGTTATTTCACAGTAGGCATGATGTAGCTACTTTATGGCAAGTTCATTTTACTGTACCTACCTACCTAAATGGCCATTAATTTTTGTCACCCCCAGAAACTAACAAGCATGAATAATATGTTTTATACTTAAAGATGATAAAACAATTATTGATATTTATAGAAAGAAATGAGGAAATGTGACTATAATTCTACAAAAAAGAAGTTTTTACCTTCCTGTCAAACGATACTCATATTCTGAGCAGGTGTAATTTGTCAAAGATCAAAACTATTCTCCATGTTATATGGGGAAATCCCTTCCAACACTGCATCAGCTGATTTATAGTATGAGTTACAAATATTATAGATGATATATCTGAAATGATCATTCATGGATAATTCTAGATTCCTCATATCGTACATAGGGGAATTTAAATTAATAGTTTGTTAGTTTAAATTCACAGTCTGATGAATTATTGGCGCATATTGGTGGAGCAAGCAAGCAAAAATTACCATCAAGTCAAGCATTTAGTATGAGTACGCAATTTGCCTTTGCCATGCTGGAAGCTACATTTCAAAAAACAATGTGATGACAAAAACGAAATGTGATATGATTTCACATTCATTTAAATTTAATTTTAATTAAATCAGTAACATTCTTTAGTCATATTTAATATTGTTTCCTTCTCTTACATTAATTTGTAACACTTTTTGTTTGTCTGTAGCAGCCACAGCCAAATCTGCTCCTCTGATGTAGTACTTTTCATTAATATTTTTTATTTCTTTTGAAATAATTCCTACGGCATATGAATTATCTACTGAAAATTTATTCCTTTAGTTTAAAATAAGAATTTTTCCTATCTATCTATCTATCTATCTATCTATCTATCTATCTATCTATCTATCTTTGTGCTTTGGAATTACTCAATAATATTCCACGTTATAAGTAGATTAATGACATATATATATATATTTGATATGTGTATAAAGAATCACAGGAGTTTTTAGGACCCATTGGATGCTAGAGTGGCCACCTTACCAAGTGTGGCTGCTAGGATTACGAAGGTGTGTGGATTAAATTGTAAAAGTGGTATTGTTGGCATGAACTACAATATTTATATTACTGTTTTTCTAATTCACATCTGTTTCCTTTTGTCTGAATATCTAATATTTTAATAACTGGAGCTATACAAAAAAAATTGGGATGATCTGACTTGACTTTAGTCTCCTTAACAGGTAATGGAACATTTTATTGAGAAATCATAAATTACTGGTGTGAATCACAGGGCTTCAGCATTCCAGACAATTTTTTCTTTCCTGGTGTGGTTAAACTGGCAAAACAGCATTCAGAATTGCAGGTTTTCTCTTCTCAGTGACACTTTCTAACACTTTATGTGATTATAAGAAGTAATTTCTGAAGCCTTAATTCAACTATAGCCAGTATCTCAACAATAAAAGGGGCACTTACAGCAAACATTTTAAATTTGAGTAGTCAAATGTATTTCTGCACATCACTTACATTTATTGCAAGCCATGTCAAAATAAAAACTTTCCCCTCATTTGCTTTCCATTGATTCTATCAAACAGTTCATTAAAACTGTAGCCAGAAGTGATAATAATTTCCTGTTCATAAGATTAAAACCCATTTCATTTCTTCAATACCTTAAAATAATTATTTTGTCTGCCAGTGTCTTGTCTATATCTTTATCATGGGAAGACATCATTTTTCAACACATATTGTTAAGTTGCTGAGCAGACATTGTTCTGTGTTACGGTCCTCCTAAACTGTGCTATGAATTTGGATGCCAAAATCATGTGGAAAGGTATGTATCTTTTTCACAATTTTTGTCTTGTGAGCAGAGAAACAATCCAATGAAAAAGATGACTCATATGATTAATCCTGACCAGTTGTGTACTGCTATGTTGAAGCCTTTCCTATCACTAGGAATCCATGTAAGTGGATCGTAGATCTTTAATTCCAGTGGATACCAAGTCTTCTATTGCAATCTAAAATTTGGGTTTAGAAATGCTGTCTCTGATCAATAGGGAAGAATAAATCCCCTTTACAGTATGTTTTCAGCAGTAATGTCCTTTATCATCTGTTTCTGTCAGTGAATGACAGCAGTTAGGATGTCAACTCCAATCTAATTTTGAACCCAGAACTGTATAACAAAACTTGATGACATCTGTGGCAGGTGTTAAAACTGCTTTAAAACCTCATGCTAGTAAGATTTTTAAAATAATAGAATATCAGCACATCAGCAAATTATACACACACATACAAAGGCAATACTTCCTTAGTTCTGCACAAAGATTAAAAATGACAGACTTTGCCTGCACATTCATATTCTGATAGATACAGTATAAAAGATATTCAAAAAAATGTGAGAGGAGAAAAACGGGCATTAGAGTAACTAATCAAATAGTATCTGCTCCTTTATTTCCTGATTTATGGATCAAAATTTGCCCTGTACCATGAAGTTCTTGCTATGAGAAAAGATGATGCACTTTCAAGTAGTCATTGGTGTCATGTCCAGTATTAAAGGCTCCACTGCAGCTTTCATGAATATGATTCCATAAAACTAAATAGTGAATAGACAAAGGTGGTATATATCTACGACAAAGTCCTTCTGCAGTTGGACATAAATTATAAAAATATCCT